ATGTTAGCTTAACTTACCCTTCCTAAGCTTCAGCAAAGAAACCTAATCAGTGGATAAGGTGTGAAGAGCTCAATTTACTTGCTGTTTCTCTTGACGGCCAGTATTTGTGTGGAACTTTCATTTTCATACAGGAAAGAAGAACAGCTGGTAAAACATGAATGAATGTAGACCCAAGATAACAGGGTCAGGGGTTATCTTTGAGTCTTTGAGGCTGTGGTTACAAATACTGTGAAAGGTGAATCCTAGATTAGCACTGTACAGCCTGGTCTTGCTTGTATAAAATAAATAATTCTCTGAAGGAGTAAAAAATGTGAGTGACAGTTCCAGGTCTAGGTCAGCTGACACTGGCCTTGAGAATATTAAAATGCTTTGAGCATTATAGAGAGTCCAGTGGCTGAATTTGAGACTCTTGTCCATGCTGTCTCTGCTCTTACTGGCAGGGGAGTAAGGTAATAGTAGGAGATACTGCTCTGGACAAAGGCAGTGATTTCTTAGCAAATACTCTGAACTTGCAATAATAAAAGATTTTCTGAGCAGCCATCTCTGGAAATAGAATCTGGGGCTTGAATGCCAAACAGGATTAGGTTTCTGAAGCATGTTTGTTTCTGTAGGGGTGGTGTCTCAAGTAACTCAGGTTTATCTGGGGAAAATGGTTGTTGAGACAGTATCTGTGTTGAACTGCTAGCAATGTTTAAAGCCCAAATAGTTCCAGATTTGTTGCTATTAATCTGGTGAGGTGATGGGCGTTGAAGTGCACACTGGGGATCAAATTAAATGGTTGGGGTTGTTTTTTTTGTGCATGGGTGCTTTCTGGAATAAGCTGCAGTTTAGAAGTGTTGCCGTCTTCCCAACTTGTGTCTGAGAGATCTTAAGTAGAGACAACTGCTCTTAGTTCTGCTGTTTTAAGTTTGTCCCAACCCTGCAGGTTAGATGGTAACTGTATGTCTCTCTCACTGAATGTAATGTCTTCTGTGCCTCTTTGTACAGCTGAAGCAGAAGATTGAATTCTTTTAACTTGATAGTGTTAAAAGTAGTGGGATTTTAATCTTCCTCCTTTGCATGTGTGCTTGGATTGATGGATTTACTGATGTCTGCTCTTCTGTCCTTCGAATAACTTGGGACCTATGGGTGGATCCTCATGCCCCTTATGGTCATGTTTCTAGTGCAAGTCAGCTTTGCAAGTTTTTCTTGTACTCGCTTGGCAAAGCTGAAAGACTGGTGATAGACATTGATTAGAAACAAATGATAAATTTAAGATAGGTAAGATGAGCCAGTGGAAGTAGTTCACAAAATCCCACCTGCATTATTGAGGAGAAGCAGTCTAATTTTCTGACTCTTAAAAAATGTTTCCCCAAACTGTGCTGCTCCTTAACTTGTATTAAGCCAAAACTAAAGGAACTGCCCTTAATTTGGGTGGGCGAGGAGGGTGATAAGAATGGTGGTGGCAGTCTGCTGGTGACTTGCAGGACACTTCTGTGAAGCTGGAGCTGTTGACTGGCTGTTAAGGACCTTCCAGGACCTGGAGCACAAAGCAGCAGCTGTCTCTTTTGCTTTATTTCTAGTAGTGTGTTAAATAAGCAAGGCTGGAAAAACATTCCTAAGTAAGATACACTGTCACTGATGCTGGTGACAGAACAGCTGGCATGCTGTTTGGAAGCTGCTTATTTGTACAGTGTGCACAGTTATTGAATTGTCTGTTGTGTTTGTTTGCCTACAAGCTATATTTACTGACAGTCTCATAAACAGACTTTTGTCAAGCCTTGTGGTGTTTATCTTAAAGTTCAAGTGAACTAGATAAATCAGTGTAGTTCCTGGATTATGCTTTCACTTAGTGCTTCAGTTCAAGCTCAGTCACAGTGGATCTTGTGACTACTGAGCAAAGTCAGGTTCTTCATCATTTGGAGACTTAACCCCTGTAATTCCAGATGCAGTTTTTATTACTTGAGGCCTTCTGAGGGATGGGTGAGTGAGGTATTACAATGTGATAGAAGTAGAAATTGGGGATTTTGGAATATATGTTTGAGCAGTACAAAACCAAATAGCACTATAAAACTTCTCTGCGTTCTTCATTTGTAAGTAGTAATTTGAGATCTTGAAGGTGGAGGAATATTTTAATCTGAACTGTTGATGGTTAGTGGAAAACATGCAAAATACTCTCAGGTTCAGGTGAGACATCTTAAACCATTTGAAGAAAAAAAACCCTACAAACAACAGCAACAACAAAAAAACCCACACAAAAACCAAAACAAATGAACAAAATAAACCAAACAACCCCCCCCCTCCCCAACAGCACAACAATAAGAAACTGCCAGGAGTACTGATTCTCTGAAATGACCTGAGTGGCAGAATGCAGCACAGGTAAATGGTGCCCAGTTCTTCAGGGCAGGCAGTGGGTCTGCTGCTTCCTTCTGATGCAGGGCAGGATAGCGCTGGTGGCAGCAGGACCTCTGTCTGCCCCCCTGGGGCTCTGCCTGCCCCCTTCCCCAGCACCCTGGTGCCCCATTGCTGAGGGAAGCGCTCCCAGCCTGCCCCCGCGGCTGCCTGGCAGAGGGGCCGCTGCAGTCACTGTGCCCTGTGGGGAAGGGAGCATGCAGGATCCCAGCCCCAGGTCAACGTTAATCTTCAACTTGGGAAAATTTTTCCAGTGTGACATGGCTGTGGAGCCATTAGCATTAATGGCTCCAAGTTCCAAGCTCTGAAGAATGTAGGCCAAGTTTTTTCCTCCTCCTTTTTTCCCCCTCTTCCTTAGGATTTGAAAACAAGTCCTCATGTAACCTGTCTAAAATCAAATACAGCCTGCTCAAGGAAGTAGACTTGAGGGGACCAAACAGAGGGGTTGCAAGAAAAGAAATAAACTCCAGAGCTGGCTTCCGAATGGCCTGCACAGGCGTGTTACCATGCAGCAGCATCTGCTGTTGAGCTGCAGGAAGCACAGTAACGTGCTGTCTGCCTTGGAGATGCTTGAGCTCTAAAGCTCCATGTCAAGTTGTTTTGAGGGCTGGACTACCTGTGGTTCTCATGTGCTATTCATGGCATGAACCTGAATGTGTTACAGGCTCCCACTGCTTCCAACACTGGCTAAAATAAATACTAGTGCATCTAGTCTGTCTCTTCTTGCAACTCTCACTTGAAAAAGTCTACTTGTGGCTTGCTGTTAGAGTAAGCAATGAGTAGCCCATTCAGAGATGTTTTAAACCTGCTCCCTGAAGAGCTGTGTCTGTCTGGTACTGGAGGTGTACAGCATGCTCTGGACGTCTCTTCCACCTTCCTGTGAGAACATTCTTTTGAGCCTGACAGGGGAACTTGATTTCTTTCCTTGATGAGAACTTGGAAGAGATTAGACTTTGGTCTGATGTTGGAGTTCGGGGTGGGACAGAATACCTTGAGCCTTAGTAATAGGAAACTTCTAGGTCACTAGGTTTAAATGGAGCATTAAGTAAACAACATAGAATCACTTAGGTTGGAAAAGACCTTTAAGATCATTGATCATCAAACATTAACCTACTTGGTAGCTGTTTGGTATTGTCAGATCAATTCATACAAACAGATTATTTTCTAGGATTTGGTGCTGTGCTAACAACTACCATTATTTCTGGTATTCTCCTCAGCAGAAGAGAGTCAACAGACTAAAAAAGTCTATTAATCCCCTGGGAAAGTTTATAGGGGATCTTGAGGCTTAGCTATTCCTCCTAATTTGAACTGAACTCTCCTTGGTGTTTTGGAAAATATGATTTAAAAAAATGCTATTAAAAACCTGTAAGACTTGTTCAAGGGTTTTTGGGGGTGATTGAGCCTCTCATGTTACAACAAAGTAGCTGGTAACTATCTTGTCAGACTCAAACCTCAGCTCTAGTTGTTGTGTCGGAGAAGTGAATGCTAGGCCTTGTGAATTTAGTAGGAATTGTGTTTGTGTGTTAGTGGATTTCAGACTGAGTTGTTAGTAGCATTGATTAATACCCTAATCTAAATCTAGGGAGGTTCTGGGGAGTTCCCTTTTGGATTTAAGGGTGCGTATAGTCTCCAGGATATAGTTTTAAGAAGTGTTTGACAGAGTTAAGAATACTGGTCTCGGAAGGTGCAAGGGAAGTGCTTCTTTGTAGTGGTTAGGTCAAGGAATTTAGGGTTGTCTTGGAAACGGGAATTTGGGGTTTATTTTTCCCTTGGAGGCTGTATGTGACTGTAGCTAAACACTAGGAGTGTAGCTACTAATCAGCTCTGAAGAAACACCAGAAGAATGTTCTGAGCAGAGCTGCTGAGGGGCAGCATGTTCTGGCTGCTTTCTGCTCGAGCAGCACGGGAGTAACTCCCCCGTCAGCACAAGTCACGCACGGCTCACCCTGGCTTGCTCACAGGAACAAGAGGCAGGCTGAAGCAAAACCTGCAAGCCTTTACCTGCTCAGCCACTTCAAGCTCCTTTGCCTTCCCAGGTTCTACTCCACAGCAGCTAGTTTGTCTTGCTGTCATGGGTAGAGCTCAGGAACTGCTCAGAATCATTGCTTGCAGGGTACAATGCCCAAAGCACAAATGGAGTTGTAAAGATGTCTTCATAAGTGTTTTAATTTTATTGAATTGCCACACCCACAGTTTTTGTGTAGTGTTGTGTGCATAGTACATAAGTCTTTCCTGCCCTTAAAGATTTTTGGCACCTTGTTTGTGATCAGGAGCATGTGAAACATTCCAAAAAAAGTTAAAATTTTAATCCTATGAAGTTAAACATTTCAGATACTGAGCTACTTTCAGAACTGGTTTGAACACTGTACTGAAGACTCTGCACCTTCACTACTTTAGGAAGCTATTGTTTGTTTAAATTTTCACTCCAAGTTGTGGGGTTAACAAACTGACTTGCTTGCCTTCAGGGACAAATAACTGCAGCATTGCCACACGTGTTCTGGTTGTTCCTTCACCTCCTGTGGTTTGACCGCGTGTGACGTTAATTACGTGTGGAGGTATGCTGTAGTTTCCTTGCTGTTAAGAATGTTCTGATGCTCTTCTTGTTGCAGATGTGGAGGTACTGTTGGTGCCATTCTGACATGTCCACTGGAAGTTGTGAAAACACGATTGCAGTCCTCCTCTGTGACTCTCTACATCTCTGAAGTCCATCTCAACACTGTGAATGGTGCTACTGTCAATCGAGTAACCAGAGTTTCTCCTGGACCTCTCCATTGCTTGAAGTGAGTGTGCACGTTGCTGGGTGTTTTGATTTGTTTTGGGGAGGGAGAAGTAGCCATATGAAAGATTCAGACTTTTCTGTCCTAATGCTACTCTGAGGTGACTTTCCATAATTTGTTTTTAATTCTTAAGTTTCACATTTCACTTTCCTGAAGGTCTTTTGTGCTCGAGCTTTTATCTTGAGTTAGCCAAAGCATTTATACCCTGTACAGTTCACAGCTCCAAACTACATCCTCAAAACTCAGTGGGAGTGCTGTAATGCTGAAGTGTCAGGCTACTTCCCTCCAGAAAAAGTGTTAGTATAAGACTTAAACTGTTTTGTGTCCAAATTGTGTTGCTGAATATAAAGGTGAGAAGCCAAATGAAATCGAGCTTTTATCTTGAGTTAGCCAAAGCATTTATACCCTGTACAGTTCACAGCTCCAAACTACATCCTCAAAACTCAGTGGGAGTGCTGTAATGCTGAAGTGTCAGGCTACTTCCCTCCAGAAAAAGTGTTAGTATAAGACTTAAACTGTTTTGTGTCCAAATTGTGTGAATTGTGAATATAAAGGCAAGAAGCGAAATGAAATTAACTGAGCTTCTTCATTTCTCTCAACTTTCACCACTCCATACCCTTCTTGCCCTTCAATATCTTCTGCTGAGTATGTGACTAGTGACACACTTTTTAGGCCTAATAATAGGTCAGGCCAGATTTTGCTGTGATGTGGTACATGGTTTGCATAGCAGCTCACTGAAGGGGCACTTCCTTTCCTCGCCCCCAGCGCTTGGGGTGTCGAGTACCCAGCAGTGAAGTGCTATGGACACAGCTAAACTCTTAGCTCAGACTACAGACAGGGTTTGGACCTGGGGTACTCAAGCTAGCCAGTTATGGGGAAGTAACTTCAGTATTTGGGAATGAGAGGAGCTGTCCTCTAGAAAGGACCTGCTGCTGCTTCTTGCATAAGATAGTGAGGTTCCTGCTGCTTTGTATATGTGCCTGTAGATGTAGGTGTAACACGTAATGATGTGGTGGTTTTTATGTAATAAGTGGACACAGATCATGTTAATTCCTTCCATAAGTGTTAATGCTTTCAGGATGACAAGCATGTCTAAGTAATTTGTACTTCCAAAGTACTTCTGAGTATGTGTTCAAAATTCCAATTATTGCTGTGGGGTAAGCTACCACCATAGTGGAATCTTACCCAGTTGTTACAGATGTGAAGCTGAGATGTTGCTGGACACATTATATGTCAGCATTCCTAAACAGTGATGGTAACAGTGCAGAACTACAGGAATTTTTGCTTACTGAGAACAAATACTTCCAATTTGGTTTAGCAGCAGAAATTTGAATCAGCTGCTGGAAATGAGGATAGGTTTATAATCTCCTTCAGTGCTATCAATGGCTTTCACCTGTTTGTCCTGATAGTAAGTTCCAAATAAAAAAGTCATTTATGCAAGGGTAGTTTGCTTTAGTGAGTAATTGACTTGTCATTAACCTGTATGTGTCTTTGAAGAGTAACTACACAGAACCATTTGTGTATATTGGCCAGTGTTTCCAAATCAATAAACACAGCTCTGTTCTGCAACATCTAGTGAAGCAGTTAAAAATACTCTTAAAATGTGGTTCTAAAGCAATTGCTGGAGCAATTTGCAGTGATGGGATGCAGGTAGTCCTTGTTCTTCCTCCTGTGTCCTACCATACCTGATGAACATCTAGATTGGACAGGTTGGTTTCACTAAAACTGAATATTAATGGACATCTTAGTGTGCCTGTGTACCTTGCTGCATGATGGGTTCCAACTCTTTCTAAAAACCACAGATGTGGAATAGGCTTCCCAAACACTTAGGGGCTAGTAGTGCCCTATTTGAGGCCTCAGTTCACTGCTGTGTTTCTCTGTAAATCCCTCAAAGCTGGAAGGTGCCATTCCCCTGCCACCCAAGCAGTCTTTCCAGAGCTGTGTTGATAGCAGACCTGGTACCACAAGATGTTAGGGCTGTACTGCAGCTGTGACTCTCTGCATGGGTTACACCCCTTTTTCAGTTAATCTCAAAGTTAAGGGAGTTGCCTTGCATGAGGAGGGAAGGGAAGGGTTCTCTTTTCTGGAATGAAAAGGAAAACCCACTGGCTCTGCAGCCCAGCAGCAGTGCTTGGGTGGGAGCCCACAGGCAGCAGCCCAGAACTGATGGGAGGGAATTCCTCAAGGATCGGCCACTTCTCACATCAGAGGTTTCAATTTGCTTTCCCTGTAGTCAAAATAGTCACTATCTTACAGAAAGAATAAACCAAAGAATGGGTTCTTAGTTGAATGCTTAGTTGGTTTAAATCCTTTATGGGGATGGGAAGGTAGGACTGAGACCTGAAAGACTGCCTTCCTCTAACTCCTGATGTGTCACAGTTAATCAAACCAGGGTAGCACATGCAAAGCCATGTTGATGTTTCTGTCTTTTTGAGAAGAGTAATAAATAGATTGTAAAAGATGTTTCTGGCTGGGCATGATAAGCATAGAGTCAACACCTGCCTGAGCTGCTCTCACAAGGCACATGGCCTGCTGTAACTGCACCTGCAGAAGTCTCACTGCTCTGCTTCTCTCCTACCCTTCACCCCCATGCTTCCCACTCAAAGTTCCCAAACAATGGGAGTGAAAGGGTGATGAAAGGAATGTAGAATACAATCAAATATTTGTCTCCTGAAGAATCCACAGGACTGAATGCTTCCATGTTTAGTGTTTTCTCCCTGTTAAAAGGACACTTCCTTGAACTTCCTAATGACAGATAACTCCATGTCTGTGTTCTGTTGTTGAGGTCAGACTGTACTAACCTCATAAGGCTCTACTGCAGCATTTAGTTCCAGCATTTCTATGGCATGTCAAGCAAAAATGGAATTCTGTTTTATGCTGGACAGCACTGCATTGGCAGCTGTTACAAAAGTTTTACAGAGTAAAGCGTAAAACAGTGTTACATGGTGGTCAGTGCATTCCTCGGCTTTGATGTGAATGTTACAATGTTGTCCCTTCTGTTTTCTAGGATGATCTTGCAGAAGGAAGGTCCTCGCTCTCTCTTTAGAGGGCTTGGTCCTAATTTAGTAGGCGTGGCTCCTTCCAGGTAAATAGAAATACATTAAGATTTTATTAAATTTAAGTTGCTATACATTTTTTAAGGTTTATTTAAACAAAGTTTTGAATCTTCAGTTGTAAATACTTAATAGCAAATAACCTTTGGTTCCTGGGGTAATTTTGCTGTCTGAGAAACTGAGCCACTCATACTCCACAGGTCCAGTCCCACGTGGCTGCACCAAGTGCCTCAGCATGTGGTATCCTATATGCTACTACAGCATTGGCTGTTGTGTGCTATCCCTTAGGCAGAGTTTTGCCAAGTTAAGGAAAATGCTTAAGGATTTGCATGTGTAAACAAGGAGCTTATCCCTGGAAAATATGAAGGTTGATTTAGCTATCAGTTGATCCATGGTGAGGAAGCAATTGTGAGTGTAGCCTCAAAACACCAGGTCTTTCTGTGGAATTCTGGTGAAGCACAGATGGCTGTCCTGCAGTTGGAAGTCTGTTTTGAAGCATTCCTGTCTCCTGCACACCCTCTTGGAGACATCTCAGCTTTTCTGGTTTAAGGGCTTTATAAAAAACTTTATAACACTAGACTTTCCATTCAGCTTTGTTCTGTCTTCTGCTTAGCTCTGACAGGTGAGGTATTGTTCTGTTAGGTCATTTGCATGAGTGAAAGAAACATAATTCTGGAGTTGGAGTACTTTTATTCTAGCAGACTTTTAGAAGGAATTAAGAATACCTGAGGTGCTTCCTGATCACTAACTTAGCATTGCTCTTTGGGGAAGCTAAAGTCTTTCCAGTAGCTTTGTTCTTGAGACCTGTGGGGTATCAGTGCTTCCTAATCTGAAGAGGCTGTACTTGTGTTCAGTAGTCCAGTCTGGTCTGAATGTCCAGCACTGATATTTTTTAACAGCAGTTTTTATACAACAATGGATTCCATTTTATAAATTACTATCCTCACTGAAAAATACCCTCAATTGCAAAACTGTTTCTTTTCAGCTTTAATTTTGTTAAATCTTCCAGTTAAATGTTAAATCTCCCAATTCCCTTCTTCCCCCAGGTGAAACACTTAGCTTGCTTTTCCCCCCTCCTCTACTAAAAATGTCAACTCGATATAATATGTGAGGTCTTATAAATAAGCACATCCTCATTACCCTCTGGCTGACTCAGTCTTCACCCAGTACTTCATTTCAATTAAGCATTAGCTAAGTGGATTTAACATCAGCCCTTTGTTTAAATAAGCTGTAGAGAAGCATGTTTCATAACATATCCACTGTACTTAACGGAGTTCAGGTTCCATTTTAGAAATTACACCCATGAAGCAAGCACTTATTATAAATAACATGTTTGCACAGCTAACGAGGTTAATGTTCTGTTCATGGAAACTTGCATGTTAATTTTTTTTGTGCCTGTCATAGGGTGCCTGTAAACTTAAAGCTGAGTTAAAACCTTAAATGTGAGTTATAGATGTGCTTAAAATGAGCCTTTTTGCTTTAATGAGTGAAGACAAACATTTTTCATAATATCTTGCATTGGCATGTGGACTTTTATGTTTTGTGTTTTATGTAGTTTTGTATTACCAGCTCACAGACTTGAATGTAGTACAAGTAGACAAATTGTTTTGTACTGTATTCAGAGAAAAATAATCTGGCTAGTCTAAATATAGAACAGAAAAATCTGTGTCTATGCTATATACAGAACTAAACCAAGAAGCTGGTCTCAGATTCAGAGCTGTTCTAGCACTTAAAATATAAATATTTGACTACAAGTTACAAAGTATAAGGACAGGTTATCAATATTTACATCTGAAATGCTAGAATAAAAAAGTAAATATTGTGTGCTGTTTGGTTTTAAAAAGAATACGTACTTGCTAGTTCCCTTGCATGTGTAATGCTATTAAAATGAGTTTAGGTTCAGTAGAGCTAATTTGATCCATTATTAAAGAAATGCAGAATGCTGTAACCTCAGTTAGAAGTGTTTTAATTCCTTGGCTAAACTTCCTAGTGTCACAAAAATCATTCCTTTATTTCTAATTACCTATCCTTCCCTTCATTAGCTGTTAATGTTGTGGAACAAAAAGTTGTGAAGTATGATTGTTTTTCTTTTTTCCTTTTCCATTCCCAGAACAGTTGCACTACTTTACAAAAGTTATTCCTTGAGTAGTTTCTACTGAGGAAGTCAGACTTGAACCAAGATCACTCTGAGTTAGTGAAGTTAATGGCACTGCCCAAGGGCTTCCACTTGTCAAACATAACATAACTTGGATTTTGTTCTAATTTTAGAGCGATATATTTTGCTGCTTACTCAAACTGCAAGGAAAAGTTGAACAGTATTTTCCATCCAGATTCTACCCAGGTACACATGATTTCAGCTGGTGTGGCAGGTAAGGTTCTATAACTTTTTTAGCTTCATTCTAGGGTCTACAAATGAGGTGGCCATAAATGGGGGGGGGGAAGGGAAAAAAAAACCTACCAAACAGAAAATATCCAGTTTTCAAAGGGATTGAATGATCCCTTTTTGTAGGGGTTACCCTCTTTGGCCTCTCATTAAACTTGTTATTGGGAGAGTAGGTGCATGGAACTTTGCACTTGGTGTTACTGAAGGTCTTTTAACTGTGTGTGTAAATAGTCTCTTCTAGGAAAGCTGCATGGCTGCTTTTTCACCTGTAAATTTGTGACATGGGAAAAGAGAACATTCAAAACAGCTTGCAGGGAGAAAGCTTACTATAAACAGCATTGTTTGCACTGAACTCTGGTTTAATACTTCTGAATCTGTTATGTTTTTATCATCACTTTGTTACAGCTCTGTGTATCTGACTGAATTCTCTGCAATAGGCCTGCAGATGTTTGCATAAATTATACATAACACTCCCTCTGCCTTTGTTCAAATATCAGCCTGTGTGAAGTTTGCTCTACCACTAATGTGACACAGAAAAGCAGATTGCTGTCGTTTTCATACATTTTCATCTCTGGAAATAAATTCCTATTTTATTTCTGCTGTGTAACTTGGGTATATTTTAGCAGCTGCCAATATTTGTTGCTTGATTTTGTTCTGTGTTTTGGGAATCGTTAACAAGGAGGAGTTCAAGGCAACTGAGCTGAGTTACAGTCACAGACTTGTGCTGGGGGAGTCAAAACTTGGTCTGTAAACATTTTACCTGTTGTTACCTTTGTCTTTCCTACAAAAAATTTGTGAATTTTCTGCATAGGTCAGAGACACTTCACAGATAAATTCTGACAAGTTTGTGGTAGTCCACTGAAGTTTCTAATTCCTGGCAAATTTTACGACTAGTGTATCTAACTAGCAATCTGAAGTGGACTGCCAAAGATGTCAGAATAATGAATAGCATTAGTTTCCTCTTTAATACTTGTTAATAATCTGATAAAGAAATTTTTATGTAGCATAGAAGACTTAAGTGGCAGTAGTGTGTTATTTCAGTAAAAAGCTAATGTTCATCTCTAGCACATCAGTAATGCAATGGCAGTTTCTTAATCTTTAGAGATGTAAGCAGAGTTATTGTCTTAAATGGCCCAAATAAGGTGCTGAGATGATACAGTATTTTATCACTTCACAAGGTGTTCTGTTTGTGGATGAATGGCATAGGGCATAGGGTGGAAGATGATCTCAGGAGAAGTTCATTGGAATCACTTAATTGCTCCAAGAAAAATGAATTGTCTTCAGCTCTTTGTCAAGAATATAAAACATGTCTTTAAATTTTGGTGAGGGAAGCATGGTAACAGAAGCAAGTCTACCCTCCGTTGAAGACAACTCGTCACTCCTGCAGTGCTCCAAACAGATGAGGGTTTGGAGGGTTCCTTATCTTGGGGCAATTACTGCCCTTCTTCTGTAATGAGAAGAACATTTTTGGACATGTGCTGTAGTGACTCTTCCCAAGTGCTTGCAGACACAGACAGCAATTTGTCTTCTGTATCTGCTACTGAACTCGCTTCCTTTCCAGAAGGCTGGTGTTAGCATTTTTGTGTACCACTGCAGGAGACTGGGGTAAATGTATTTGAGCTTTAATTGCCTTTTTTCCATTTGTATACAAGTTTTAGCAACTTCTGTGGCTGTTCTTCCTCACACTTCCCTAGTTCTGCAGTCGTATTTCTGAACCATACAGGCAGTGAAGCTGAATGCCCAGCACAGGTTCAGCTGCAGCTCACAAACTGATCTCTTGAAACCCAAGGACTGTAGTTAAAAATCAGTGGTGCTTTCTTGGGAACGTGCTAACTTTGTTTTTGTAATTCTAATATGTTTCAGAAAGTGCACTTAAACCAGCTATTAAGTTTTACCTGCAAGGTTTGTATTGCTATATGGAATACAGTAAGGAAATGGCAAAATAACAGGGATCAAATGTGAGCTCTTAACTGACTGACTTAAACAGGTTAAGATGAAAGACCACCATAAGATTTGCTTTGGAGTCTGATTTGAATGTTGGCAAAGTGGATTAAACCCTTCTAATAATTAGCAAAAAATAATCAGTATTGTTTTTTTCTTTTGCAGCTGCCATTGGTTTTAGTAAGGAATTGAGTAACTCAGTCTTAAATGAGGGGATTTTTGTTTGCTTAAGATCTTGCTGTTACATAGTCTTCTAATATCTAATGAGCAGGAGGTGCTGTTTGCACTTAAGCTTTTCCTACGGGTTGTAGAACACAACAATGATGCAAAAATACAATTTAAAAAACTGTCATTTACTGTATTATGAAAGTATTCTAAGTAACAAACTTTAGTCAACTGTAAATACTGTTTATTTTTGTCAATGTTAATACATAAGTATGTCAGGCTAGACTGATAACATTGTTAAAAAAGCATTATTTTATGCCCATGGAGTTTTTGGGAGTGAGAAGCTGAGGTATGGTATTTAAAGCTTTTTTGTTTGGTTTTAAGCCTGATTCTTCCTTCCCAAGATAAAACATTTTTTGGTTTATTAACATTCTTTTAGTAAGTATGTTTTATCGCAAGGAGGATGAATTATGCCCCATATTAGTAACTAATGCCTTATGCAATTAGAAATTGAAGTTTTTCTCTTGATGTTTGCTAGTTTCCACATTATGATTCATATCAGCTTCATACCTAAAATACCTGTGTATTGACACAAAGTTCTCTGCAATCTTTTTTGATTGCTACTTGGTTCCTTTTGAAAACTTGGGTGGTGCCTGTGTCTGAAGCATGCTACAGGAATGAGAGCTTGCTTGTGTGAAGATAGTTGCTATCTCTGTATGCTTAAAAGTTAGGCCAAATTCTCAGATCCACTATAAACTCTGCCTTCTTGTTGCACTTACTGAACCTCTTTTGCAACAGAATAAAAACTGTAAAAAACTGAATGAGACACTTGATTCCTGTATGGCTTTCTGATTTGCCTTTTTTAATGATTTATAGCCTCATTCAGACAACATGGTTGCAAATCTGCTGCAAAACTATTTGCCTTGAGTGCTATTGCTGTTCTTTCTAGAACTCTACTGGCAAAACAACCCAAATGTAGATTGCTTTTCAATTTATTTTCAAATTGGGACCACTTTATTGCTTACAGAGATACTGTACGTTTGTAATTTTTTTAGATTTACCAAGTTCCTGCATACCAAATAAAATGCATATTTAGCTCATTGATTACTGATATTCATAAGGCATTTATCTTGCTTTTTCAGTCCTAAGACAAGGCTAGCTTTTTTGTATGATATTTGGGAGGGAGTGGGGAAGGATGATGGTTCATATTTAAAGTTGATATATAGGTAAGTATTTGGAGACATAAAATTGAACTGCTGCAAATGAGCAGAAATTTCAGTACTCAGTGCATTTTACACAACTATTTTAATATCTGTGGCCTGTTCTGATTATTTTTCTTGCTTTTTTTTCCTAAACTTTTACCTGAAAACCGTTAGATCTCACAATAACTAATTCACAAATCCTTCCAGTGGGATTCGATTTGTACACATGTGTCTGATGAGGTCACTGCTTGTTGTTATGATACAGAAAAGCCTGTGTCTATTTTAGGCATTTACTGTACATTTCTCCCGTGAAAAGAGTGAGATCGTGTCATCTCATGCTCCCCACCCGCAGGTCACTTCCTGCAGAAATATGGACTAACTTAAACCTCGTGAGTACTGAACTGAGCGTCTCTTGCAGCCTCTAGTGTAAGAACCACACATTGGGTTTGTCATATCTATTAAAGAAACAAAATGAGGGGAATTCACTTTCATTATCTTGAACTCAGATGATGTCTGTTGTGCAAAGACATCACTTAACTCTGTTCAGAGTTATTTTTTTGTGTGCAGTTCAGGGAAAGGTGGAAAACACCTTTCACTGGTAGCTGCAACTTTTTAGCTCTGGCTATTTTGAAGCCCCTACTGGGTTAAACAAGACCTTTTGGGTTTTTTTTTTTTAGTGTCCCAGAGCTGCGTTTAAAATACTGCAGCTGATATTCTGTGTTGTCATATTATTTCAAAGACTTCTTTTCTTTTTCTTTTTTAATATGTATATAATCTCCTTTCTGTCTTTCTGTTCTCTCTTTTGGTTTGTTCTTCTTTTACTACTTTGGATTTTTAATTCAGCATTCCATATTCACGTGTGTCTGTATCAATTATATTGGCTTATAGATTAAAAACACCCTAACCTTTGAAATATGATGCATAATAGGAATACCTGGGATCTTACCTGTCAGTAGCGGGTATAGCTGAAAAAGTAGATTTGAGCTAATTCTTTGTCTGAAACTGGGATACAATTTCATAGAAGGAAATAAAATGAAAGTAGAGGAATTCCTGCTACTGCCAAGTTGACCTGAATTTGTAATAAATCTGGAATCTCTTCCTGAGCATATCAAACATTGATAAGCTTTGTGAAGTGCACTGAGACTGCTAAAAAGAAAAACAGAAAAAGGAAACAATTGATAGAGCTTCATAGTAGTTGTTGAAAGCCCCCACCCCACTTTTTTTTTATTAGCAAGTACTTTTGGTACAGATTTTCTGTATTTAAAAATAAAAGCTTAGCTTATCAAAATCCCAAATGGTGTTTCCTGTTTTGGAGTTCTTTCCTTGGTGTCAGCAACGCTTAACTCTTCATTTTCTTCTCCCACTAACTCTGTCTGCTACGTGACCTCTAAGAGTTGAGCTGTAGCTGTTTAATCCTGAAACCTCAGTTACTGAAGGCTCTTTGAAGCTTTGGTTTGAGCTGCCATGCAGTTCAGGCTTAGGGAGCACTTAGCTGTGTTGCCAAGTGTCTGATCCCACTGTTAGCAGTTAAATAATATTTAGAGTAAGCCAGGGAGCGTGAGCTCAGACAGAACAGGCTGGGTCCTGTGCCAGCCACCCTTCTCTGCCTGTTTCCAATACACCCTTCCTGGCCTGTCTGGAAGTGCCAGGCTGCTGCTGTGGCTGAATACAGTCACTT